CAATGTCATAGCTGCTAAGATCTTTTTATAAACAGGGAACTAGCACGTGGCTGAGCCTGCTGGGGAGCTTAAACGCTATTTAAATGGAAGTGTCTTCTCAGCGAATGAGAGGTTTTTCTTGTTATTTAATAAATAACTATTGTCCAGCCACCAGCTTGTGCTAAATTATAAATTGTATCACACAATTTCTTTGACTATTAAAATTTGAGCTTTTCTTTAAAAAAATTTAAGGTAAAAACTGGGAACAGTACACAAATCATAACTGCTAGAGTTCTAGGCCCTCCGATGTGTTCATTCATCACGATAAAGCGCAGCTTTGGAACAATTCACTCATTCTGTATCCAACAGAAGTCTGCGAAGGGTGTCAGGTCGTGTTCCAGACACTGGGGACCAAGCTCCCCGAGAGTGCTGCCAGCCGCCCCGACGCCCACGTTGGGCTTTGGACACAACACTCTGATCACCCTCCGGCAGCACTCACTACCCACCGGGCACCGAGGGCTGGCGGCTTCCCCTGCTCACACACACACTGTTCCCTGGCACAGGGATCCTGGATGACTTAAAAATCTCTAATTATCCCCCTCCTTCATCCTCCATTTAGTCACTCTTTTTTTTTAGATTGCCCCAAAGCTAAAATAAAACAAAATGTAAGGTTGATAAGAAGTGGCTGTTCCTCTCTTATCAGCTGTTCGTCCCTAATGACTCAGGGCTGTAAATCCCACCACCCACCGCACTTCCTGCTTCCCACAGCCGGTGAGTCAGGGAGGGAAAGTTCCTCCCATGGAACCTGACACCGGGAAAGGCGGTCAGCAGGCCAGGGGTCAGCAGGCCAGGGGTCAGCAGGCCAGGGCGCTCATCGCATCGGCTTCACCGCACACACTTTCTGACTCCCCTGCTTCTCACAGATACTCTTTATAATATTCCATTAATTTGTATCTGGTCCACCCATCTTTCTTTTTACCTTTATTGTTGACAGTATTACAGATGCCCCCTCCCCCCACTGCCCCTCCACCTGGTTCCTGCCCGTCCCAGGCCTTCACCACCCTATTGTCTGTGCGGTGGGTTATGCATATCAGTATGTAAATCCTGGGTTTATCTCTTCCGGCCCCTCCCCCTTTGAGACGCCTGTCTGTTCCAGGTCTCCATGCCTCTGGTTCTATTTTCACTCAGCAGCTAATTTTGTTCATTAGACTCTACATATAAGTGAGATCATGTGATATTTGTCTTTTTCTACCCATCTTTAAATTCAAAAGTGGTTATTTTCCAAACCCAGTTCAGACACCGAGTCCTTCAGGAAGTCTTCCGGCACTTTCCGGCGGCCCCTTCTCTGCCTGCACCTGAGGGCAGCTCTCCCACTCGGACCACAGACCTTGGGCACTCACAGGCCCGGGCTGCGCCGCCCCGAGAGGAAGCCCTTGTCTGGGTGCCTGAGCCCACCCAACTGCCCAGCCCAGCACCAGGGCCCGGGACAAGGTGAGGACGTGGGCTTTCCGCTCATTCATTTATTTAAATTGAAGTTCAGAATCGCTCGCCCCCAAACTCAGTGACCTCTGGCCTATCAGACTCCGTGTCATTAGAAGTGGTTTCGAATGATCAAAACTGGCAGACGAGCATCAGGTCCTGTGACCGTGAGAATCTTCCACAGGGAGGCTCTGAGATGCAGAATCAACCCCGTGTCCCACTTCTAGAGACATCTGCCGTGAGGACCGTCGGCCACAGGGTCTGAGCTCAACCACGGCCCTGCACGGCCCTTCCGGAACCTGGCCGTACCTTACAGTGACAGTCATGTCAAAACAGGCAAAATATCAACACACCAGGCCAAACAGCATTTACTAAGTACCAGCCTACCTGTTTGGGATCAAAATGATGTAATTCCTAATTCTCACGGTAAGAGTTATGAGACAGAATTCGACTATCACTACACAGCATTTACCAGGCAAGCCTTCAGTTCCTATCTAACACAAAGCCTCTTAGAAGACAAAATTTACATATACAATGTCAGATGTTTCTACATTATTTGTTTCTAAAACAAGCCAAACTACATGAGCACACTTCTCTATCTGATCAGTCTTGCATAAGGAATGCCCTGTGCACGCATGTGATGCAAAAGGAAAGACATTCTTCGAGACGCGGAGCTCCCAAATATGGTGTGTGTGCGAGCAGCTGGGAGGGTGTGCGGAGCAGGCTGCCGGGAGCCACGCAGCCCCGCGCAGCAGGCCGGGCGAGCTCCTCCGTGCAGGAATGCGGCCAGTTCTGCAGGTCCCTCGTGGCCTTGGATGACAATTACTGACAACGGCCTTTCCTTTTCCGGTGACGTTACATCTAAAGAACATCATCTCAGCTGAAAGACCTGCCTGGTCTTTCAAACCAATATTCTTAAAGCCTGGACTCAAAGGCATGTGGCATTTCAAATAAAACAGAAACGTGCACAAGAAATTATATACTCCACCAAAACTGCTCTATGCACACCCCAAAAAACAAAAACCAGCACCTTAGGGAAAAATTAGCATGCTATTTTGCATTTACTCTACATTTCCCTTTATATATATTATTTTAAATGGTATTTTTTAAAGTGCATTGCAGGATCCTCGTACTCTGAGGCTGGAGTGTTTTAAAGGAGAACCCATCCCTTAAAGCACGTGTCCTGATACATTATTTACAGATAACCTCACACCCACATTTGCTTGTTCCCAGGAATAAGCTGGGTCCCCAGCTTCTTTCCAAGCGGTGTGCAGCCACGCCTGGTCCTGGTCACTCCACCAAATAACCCCATGTCCTCAGTGCTGTGGAATGCGGTGCCACAAAATGAAAGCATGGTGTTTTCCCTTTAAGAGTTTATCATTTAATACGGGTATAGATTAAATAAATACTCTATAAGCAGCTCTAATTGTTTTTACAATATAAATAGACATTTTGAAGGAAAAGCACTGTAATATTTTACAGGTGAGCAGTAATAATAGGTAACACTGACACAGCACTTGGCAATTTAAGAAGTGATTCTCCTAAAATTCAGTGAATCCTCACAACCCATGATACCTTTTGGGTACCCCCCTCCCCTGCCCTTCGACAGCACTGATGGGGAACCTGTGATCCGAGTACAGTAAGTTTGACACTTCTGCTCTGCGTCCCCCCCTCCCCTGCTGCTCACCACACCCAGGCGGTAACAGTGGGAGCAGCCACTGACTGCGCATCACCCAGCAGTCGCTCTTCCATGCCCCACAAAAGGAAGTGTTACAGTGTTACCCACTTTAAAGGTGAGGAAGTTGAGGCTCACTGGAAGTACATGAAGTGCCAAGAACACGCAGCTAACAGGTGCGGGGTGGGAACTGCAGCTGAGGCAGGTGAGGAACCTGCCCGCAGTCCAGGGAGAGGGAAGAGGAGGGCAGGAGGCTGGTCTTTCCGTCAGCACCAACCACTGCTCCCAGAACAGACTGGGAACAGCGCAGGGTGTGCTGTCCAGAAGGAGCCGGTGGCTCTGGGGCACAGTGCTCCTCAAGCAGAGGGCCAGCAGGCGGGGGCACCAGAGAAGCTGGGGGACCCCCAGGAGGCAGGGTGAGCGCAGTCATTGCATGAGTGGACCTGGAGTGTCTGCCCCTCCTATCAGTCAGTGGATGCAGAGGGGGGACCCCAATTCAGGAAACAGCACAGTGAAGCACAACTTATCTGCCTTGAGAGAAAAGTTAAAGCCACTGGGAAATCTGGGAGAAGTGTTGTGACGCCTCCGAAAGAAGTGTGTCCCACTCAGGCCCGAAGCGCCCAGCACACAGGAGGACGTCCTGCCAGCGCTGAAAGTTAGAACCCTCTACATTGTTTTAAACTAAAATGTCATTTACAAGTTAGCAACTCCTCCTCCCTGCAGAAAACCTTCCTTGGGGTGGAGAAGCAGGAAGGGAACGTCACTGAGCCCGTGTGCTTCCCAGGGTCCTTCCCCCCGCCTCTGCCCACAGCCTGCTGGAGCAGAGATGCTCCCCAGATCACAGCAAACCCTCCCGCACGAACTCACCAAATGCCAGCCTGAACCTCAAGCCCACATTCAAGTGGGATTTGCAACAAATAGAGGGAAAAAATCTTGGCAGAGACCAAACACAAGGATCACAGGGACCTAGGCAGCAGCACTTTTTAGAAGACAAATTAAACTATAATGGGATTTCTTTTCTCATTACTTAAAATAAAATAAACCAGGTCACTGAAATGGGCTCACACCATGGCATTTTCTTCCTTTTAATTTCATTTTTCTTTCATTAAACCATAAATTCCCGTGGAAATACTGCAGACACATGCTCACAATAACTGGGATGCCTGCCATTTCAGCAGAAGTCCTTTCGCATGAGTTCAGAGCAGTAACCCGAGTGCAGAGAGGGCTCCAAGTTTTCTGCTTATGTCAACAGCTATTTCACGAGCATGAATTATCTCTGAGGCTATTAAGCATGTGCAAAATACATTCCGGGTCTGCGAGCAATCTCAACACGGAAGGCCAAGTCAAGGTCTGAGCTGCACATGGAAACCAAAGTCATCCCAACTTCCTAGAATGTATCAGTCAAAACTTTCCTCCCAAAGCTATTAGTGTTAACTATACCTTGATGAATTAAGTTCAAGTGTAACTACAATTAAAATATATGAATCAACTGAGCTCTGACCTATTTTTCCTCTCAAAAGCAAAAGAGAATAATGATAGTTGTGAGACTTACATTTTTTCATTCCAGCATTTTTCTGAAAGTTATTTCACAGTAAAGCTAAAGGCAAAATATACTTAGTGACATTTGTTTGCTTTAAAATATAGTTATGTATGTTATTGCTCATAGAACAGATAGAGTTTTTATAAAATTTTGTTAAATTATATCTATTAATTTATTTTTAAACTGAATAGACCAAGAGGCATTCAGGAAAGAACTAATCTCGATATGTGACATATGACCCAGGGAAATAATCCACTTATTACTATATGACATACTTACAAGAGAAATACAACATTCACACACACACACACAATTGAAAACACCTACCCCTGGCAGACAGCTTCTTGGTGTTGATGATTTTGGCAGCAAATTCTTGACCAGTAGGGATTTTCATACATCTTCTCACCACCGAGAAAGCCCCCCTGAAAATAAAAAATTACCAGGCCATCAGTATAATCAGCTCTGACAGTCTATTAAGAAATTACAACAGTTTGAGCATTTTTATTGAATTCAGTGAATTTCCAAGTATCAGTGCACTACAGGACTATCCAGAAAATGACCAGCTCTTCCTGGAAACCAGACCTCCCTTCTGCCGAGAAATAAAGGTAAATTCTATTTCACTGGAAGCACACATCGTTCATCAACAGATGGAAGGCGCTGCCAATTATGAGGCCCATTTGCCCATGAAATCTGAAAACCGTCCACAATCCACACACACAGCACAGCACCAAATGTGCCAGAAAAACCCTGCAGAAAGCAGGGCTGAGGAAGAGCAGCAAAAATCTGCTGCCTATTTATTTTGGTAGAAAAAAAAAAATTAGTGTGGCTCCAAGAAAGTAAATATGGCAGTTGTTTTCATTAAAATATAAATCTTGGGGACATTTGTGTGGTTTAACAAATCCTGGTGTGGCGATTTCTCAGCCCTGTTTTGGGCTGGGGGAGGGGAGGGACTTGAATTAAGCTGCTCTTCAGACATGTTCTCCATGTTTTAACAACAAATGATGCATAAACATATAAAGATAGAACGTTCATTCCATTTAAAAGATATTTCCATTTCCTTTAATTCAGCAGCATAAAACATCATCCACCGCACCCTTTCATCAGTAATAGTGGAAACAGAGGGAGAGGATGAGGTTTGGGTCCGATGCTGCATAAGTCATAAATCAGCATCCTGGTCGCCCTGGGTCCCCATGCACAACCCCACGCTGAGCAAATCCCGTTTTCCTGCCCACCTCCAGGCCTTGGGTCCCCATGCAAGGGCTTGGGCAGGTCCCCGTGCCTCCCTGCACGCAACCTCCAGCCCGTGGGTCCCCGTGCGCGGGCCTGGGCAGGTCCCCGGTGCCTCCCTGCACGCAACCTCCGGCCCGTGGGTCCCCGTGCGCGGGCCTGGGCAGGTCCCCGGTGCCTCCCTGCACGCAACCTCCGGCCCGTGGGTCCCCGTGCGCGGGCCTGGGCAGGTCCCCGGTGCCTCCCTGCACGCAACCTCCAGCCCGTGGGTCCCCGTGCGCGGGCCTGGGCAGGTCCCCGGTGCCTCCCTGCACGCAACCTCCAGCCCGTGGGTCCCCGTGCGCGGGCCTGGGCAGGTCCCCTGTGCCTCCCTGCACGCAACCTCCAGCCCGTGGGTCCCCGTGCGCGGGCCTCGGCAGGTCCCTGTTCTCTCCTTGCACATCTCCAGCGGTCCCGCAGGTCCACGCACCGCCAGGCCACCCTGGGGGCTCCCCGGTGTCCAAGGGGCTCCCCCTCCCACCGAGGAAGGCGGGGATGCGCGCGCGCCCTGGGAGGGGATGACGAGCGAGCCACCCGGGACAAGGGTGACTGTGGCGCGGGGCAGGGTCGTGCTCGTCAGGGCAGCCCCTCGGTGAACGTGAGGGCCGGGCGTCAGGAACACGGCACTGCGGGGACAGCGCGCCCACGTCCGCGCGTGGTCGCCCCGCGGGCTCCGGAGGCATCTGCGCTCCCCGAGAGCGGTCTCCGCGGCGCCCACCCGGGCTCGCGGGGTGACAGCCACGACTGCGGGCGCGCCGGCTCCCTGCGGCGGCGCGGGCGGGGCCCCTGGCCCGAGCCTCCCCGGGGAGCGCCCCGCCGCCCGCCCCCGCCGCGCTTACTTTCCGAGCTCCTCGAAGAGCTGGTACTCGTCCGTGAAGCGGGTGCAGGTGGTGGTGGAGGCCATCCTGGGGCCGCGCTGTCCCCGGCCGCTCGCCGTCCGCGTCCGAGAGCGACCGGCCGCCGGGATCGCGCGGGGCGGGGGCGACCGCGACGGCTGCTTCTGCCGCGCTCGGGCCTGCCGCCCCTCCGGACGCCGCGCGGCTCTCTCCCCGCCGCGGGGGCAGAGCGCTGGGAAACGGGGGCCGGGAGAGGAAGACAGCGGGCGAGGGCGAGACGCGAGCAGCCAGCAGCTGCGAACGATCCGCGGGGCCGGCGGGCGGGGCGGAGGCGGGAGCGAGCCCGGGGCGGAGGCTCGGGGTCCGGGGCGGGGCGGGGCGGGGCCTGAGGCGGGGCTCCGGCGCAGGGGGCGGGGCACGACACCAGGGCGGGAGGTGGGCGGGGCGCGGGGCGGGGGAGGGGAGGCGGGCGGGGCCTGGCGCGAGGGCGGAGTGGGCGGGGCGTCAGCCGGGAGAGGGGGCGGGGCGGGGCGAGGGGGCGGGGCCGGGGCCGGGCCAGGCTGGACGCCCCCGTCCGACCCCCTCCCTTCTCGCGGCCCGAAGGCCCTCGGCGGCCCCCGCCCGTCGCCTCGCGCGTCTCAGGCGCCCGCGCGGGGAGAGGCCGGGACGGGCTGGGCGGAGGACGAGGCGGCGCGTGACGGCCGGGGCTGTGGCCCTTCTGCCAGGGGGACCCCGCCGGGCCAGGCCGCGCCTCCCTCCCGGGGGCTGCCCCAGGCCCCCGCCTTCCCGCTCCTTCCAGGTCGGGGCGCTCACACCCGAGCAGCCCCCGGGGTCGGCTTCGGCCCCCACGTGAGCGGAACGACAGCAGAAGCACCGCCCTCGGCCCCGCCTCCGCGCCTACGGGCCGGCCGGCTCGCTCCGTCAGCTCCGCGAAGACGACGGTTCTCGCGATGTTTCCGCGCGGCCCGCGGGGCGGAGCCTCCGGAGGGCGGAGTGTCGGTCAGGCGACCCGGTGACGTCACTCGCCCCACGTGAGCGCGCTTCGCCCCACCCCCTGGCGGGGGTGAACGGGAGGTCGCGCGACGGGCTGGCGCGCTCGCTCGGAGCTCTGCCCGCGGGCCACGTGCGCGCCCTGCGCGCGGAGCCGCAGCCCCGCCGGCAGCAGCCGGCCTGCTCGCAGCTGCGTGCTGTTCGCAGTGAAACGCGAGGGAAACGGTCGCGCAGCGCCGCGCGGCCTCGGATCAGTGATGCTGCCGAGACCCCCGGCCTGCCTGCAGCCCTGAGCCCGGAGCAGCCAGCCCCGAGGAGGCGGGACGCCGACCGGTCCCGGGCTGTGCAGCTGGCGGCCAACCCTGCGGTCCGCCCTCGTTTGTTCGTCGTCAGCGTCACATCGCGGACCCCAAAGTGCACCCCCGTGGAGAACCGATAAGGAGTGAGGGTCTCGGGAAGGCGTTGTCCTCGCGGGGGCTGCTCCTGCCCGGGACGCGGCTCCTGCTGGCCGGGTGCCCTGGTCTTGGGGACGCTGGACTGCCAGTAACTGAACAGCTGTTACCAGACTTCTCGAAACGGCCGCAGTTTTTAACGTTTACTGTAACAAAACTGAACCTTGTACCTATTTTAATTATCATCCTTAAAGAAAATCTGTAACACTGATACGATAAAGGATGATACCAAAATCTACATAAAAGAAAGAAATAAGTTGTCTAAATATTGACAATTGGGGGGAAAAATTTGGTCCAGGCTAACGATTTTTAATATATAGTTTTATTTAGCCATATGGTTCCAAGTTATAATGCAATAATTTCATAGTCTCTGAATTTAAAAATGAAACAAAAAGTAAAATTAAAGCCATAAATAAAGTTAATATAAAATTTACCCCTCGGGGGGAGAAAATTGTTTTTTAAATATTCATGTAATGAGGCCTACATAATTATAGCGTTTACCTCCGTTACTTAAATCACTGGTAATGGTAAATGGTTATGACAATAAAGGAAGCATCACTGAGTTTCAATACTGATATATAATTAGACAATAAACGTGTGCTTTTCCCAGCAAACACTGCCTGCTTGGTCAGCATTTACACCGTCTCTCGATCTACTGTATGGGGCAGGAGCAGAGCAGGCTTTTGAGACACGGTTGACGATCCAGTGTGGAGTCTCTGTCAGCCAAGACATGATGTCAAGTGACCTGTCCCTCAGGTTGAGCAACGAGGACTCTAGAGGGGGAGTGAGGATGAGGAGGGACAAGAGACACGAGAAATGGAGACAAGACAGGATTCTGATCAAGTCTCGTTTATTCAGGGGGAGTTCACATAATAGAGAGGGGGAAAACAGGTGAAACAGTTAATGAGTATCCCACCTGAAGCAGATTCCAGTAAATACCCCAGGTGGAACAAATGATAAGCAAAGAATGGAGTAAACAATTACCTAGAGGAATGCAGACACTATATTCAGAGAGACCCCGCCCTGGGCCAGAGACAGCAGAGCAGACTGCAACAGAATGGAGGCCATGCAAAAGTCTCCCACAGTCAAGGACCACGCCAAGACTGAGGCATTGGGGGTGAAGGAAATGCCCTTCGGAGAGGCCTGGAATGCCCCAAACCATAACTCTGGACACTCAGAGAAGGGCCCTTCTGGATGCTGACATGAGTGGCACTCTGCCCCTGGTGGGCTGTAAGAACCCAGAGCTTCGACCACCCGGCGCTGGAGCCTGGCTGTACCACCAGCTGAGTGCCCACTTACAGCTGTCTAGCTTGAGACCCACACCTGCCTTTCCACCTGCGGACCTGCCAGTGACCAAGACTCCACACTTAATGCTCGCTCTGCTCTCTTCTGTGGTGTACGCTCCCCAACTCTGTGTGTAACCTATTTGCATACTGGGGAGGTCTCCCCTAAGAAACCTGGCATTGTGGACAGACACGAGCATGTGTGAGTGACTCTCTTTGGAGAAGCTCCCTTGCTCACAACATCTATATCTTGGACTAATTAAAATATTTCTCTCTTTTTTTCAGATGGAGTGTGAGGGAGAGAGAGAGAGAGACATGAAAGGGACACATCAAATGGCTGCCACCCACACAACCCAACCAGGGCTGGGGACAAACTGCAACCAAGGTACATACCCTTAGCGGGAACCGAACCCAGGTCTTTCTGGACTGCAGGCCAACGCTCTACCCGCTGAGCCAAACCGGCCAGGGCTCTCTTATTTAAACAAATACTGACAATTATTTCTGAAGTTGGACCTCAAGACAGTAGTCGTAAAGCTACATAGAAATCATTCCATTTGGATCGTAGCCCTGGCCTCCGCCCTGGTCTCCTGCTGCCCTTGCCCCCTTCATTTGAGTCGCAGAGCAACGGCCAGAATTATCCCTTTAAAATCTCAGAACAATTATCCCTCAGCTCAGAACATTTTGAAACCTTTTCATCTTGGTCTAAAAACCAAAATCCTGTCCGATCGGTGTGGCTCCGTGGTTGAGCATCCACCCTGAGGTCGCCAGTTCGATTCCTGGTCAGGACACATGCCCAGGTTGTGGGCCTGATCCCCAGTGGGGGCATGCAGGAGGTGGCCAGTTGATGTTCTCTCTCGTCGATGTTTCTCTCTCTCTCTCTCTCTCTCTCTCTCTCTCTCTCTCTCAAATCAATAAAAAGAAAAAAATTAAAAAAAGAAAAATCCTAAAAATGGCTTCCAAGAACCCAGGGCATCACCCGCCACCCAGACTCCATTAGCCTTCCTTCCGCAGTCTGTGCCTGGCTCCTTCCGTGCCAGCCACATTGGCCCTGCTGTTCCTGGGCGTGACTGGACACTCCAAACGACGGCCTTTGCACGTGCTGTCCCCTCCTTCCGGAAATGTTCGCCTCTTAGTCATCCTCCCGTCTCACTTCACCTCCTTCCAGTATTTTCTCCAACAGCGTGCACCGATGAGGCCTCCTCAGCTGCGTATCGACAGGCCCCTCTTTCCCGCCCTGCACCTGCCTCCTTCCCCCTGAGCACCCATTACCACCGAGTGGAGTATACGTTTTATTTTTTCCTTGTGAATTATTTATACTTCACAGTGAGAAAATAAGCTCCCCGAGGGCCTGAGTGATGGTCTGTTTTGTTTGCTGCTCTATTTCCAGCCCCTGGAATAGTACTTGGCACATAATAGCTGTTCGATGAACTTTGTTGAATAGGCAAGTTAATTATTTTGGGGTATGGATGATCTAATCACAATTTTCATATTAAATTTGGCAGCTGATAACACGCTAGTAAGACTTCTTACCATAAGTGTGATTGCTTTAGATCAGAACGGTCATGGTATCCCATGACTAAAAGTACTTCTGCAGAACATAGATTTAAAAAACACACTAATAATTGGCATTAAGGGAAGAGGATATAGTACTTGTTTTCTTGCCATGGAAGTCTGTAAAGGGAGGAGAAATCCCTGTTTTTTAGATGCAGCATCCTTACTAAATTTTTTATCATAATAAAAGATGCCCAAAGTTCTGACTAGATCTCATCGCGAAGACACAAGTCAGCGTGAGGAAACGGCTCTGTTTGTTTCCCGTCATTGGGCCTGAAGCCGGCTTCTTTTTCTCTTTTTAAATGAAATGTGTTGGGGTAGCATTGGTTCATACCATTGAGCTCAGGTGTGCAACCTGACAATAGGAACCTGGGGTTCAGGCTGAGGGCCCCTCCAGGGAACTTCCGTGTGTCTCTGCTCAGCACTGACACCACGTTGGGCTCACCATGCACCCCGGGGAGAGTCCAGATCTTCAGCCCACCGAACCCGGTGTGTCCTGGTCTAGCCCGGCTCAGTCTCCTGGACTCAGCCCATGTCCCCACCCCAGAGCACGGCTCCTGAACCTTCTGGAATTATCTGTCCACACTGTCCATTTGTCAGCGCCGACTTGCAGACCAGACTGCCCTCCTGTCAGTGGGTTTGTGGAGAGACGCCTCATGGTTCTGTGCCTCCTCCGCCTCTCCCAAAATACCTGCTGTGGTTCAGAAGCCCGTTCGACTCCCAGGTGTATTTTCTCTTAATCTTGTTTACTTGTATGATTAGTATTTTAACCCACCTGAAATGTATTGTGAACACCATGGGGCAGGGATCTACTTTCATTTTTTCCCGAACACA